CTTCGCCGGTAATATCCAGAGCCTCTACTGCGCAGCTACTTAGCCTTTTTTTTGCACTATACTGTACACTCATTACTGATATTTGTTGTTGCAGTTTAGCTATTTCTCTGTTAATATCAATTAATGATTCATTCTGATCTAGTAAACCTATCATAGTATATAATACACTATCACATACATTATGATTCAGTATATTATACCAGTTGCATTTGTTAATAATAACTGCAATTGTTCTATTTCCATTCTCATTCCTCTTCTGATTCTGTATGATGCTGTAAATGATAAATAATAAAACAACAACAACAGCAATAATAATAATTTTAAAAATAATGACATAGGGCACCTTTTTTCGAGGGCTATAAATTTTGCAAATTTGTGATTTTTAAGATTTGTGAAAATTACTTTTAATTAGCAAAAATCAAATGAATACGGTGTTGAGGAAGACACTTTGACCTCAGACTTCCTTAATCTATCTATGCACACACCCATGTCACATCTCTCTCTCTCTTTCATCTTAGGACTTTGTTTAGTAACTTCTGGAACATTCATAGACTTTGTTAGAACATTCTAGTACTCAGTTGTTTAGAATATTCCAGTACATGTACAGAACACTCTTACACATGTTTAGAACATTCTTGCACATGTTTCATGCACATGCTCACACGACTATAAATAGGCTCAGTGCGGCCACTGTTTTTGGGTCTTTGATTATTATAGTCTTTCTGTTATCGATTAATAATTTGGATAGCTATTGCTATAACAAGTAGCTGAACAAATCTATCATACGGTACAGAATGGCAGATGGCATAAATTCGTAAAAATTAAATCCACAAAATCTAAAGCACTCAAAAATATTAACGCACCCACGCTAATAATAATAATAATAATAATGATAATGATGATGATAATTCTAACCTGAACTAGTATTTCTTGGTAATGACAGAAGTTGTTGATTTTCCTTTACTCTCATTTCTACATTATTTCAATTATAATTAATAAAGTTTTATTATACTTACTTGTTAGTGTTTCTTCTAATTGTTTATTTGTTTTTATTTCTTTTATTAATCGTCTATTAATTATTGTCACTCTTGATAGTATATCTGAAATATAATAATTATCCATCAATTAATAATACTGGTCAACAACCATTACATTAATGT